AGCTATATTTTAAAAAAAAGTTCATTTTACTCCCTCAAAGTATATTGGATTACTTAACCTCATAACTATTTTTTTCTCATTTTACCAATGAACTATTGAAAATGGTTCACTCCCTAGGAAAATTTCTTTCATTTATTTCTTTTTTCATAAGCTATATTTTAAAAGAGTTAATTGGATCCATGCCATTTCAATTCGTATTTTTTTAAAAAAATAAATGCTACTACTGTTCACAATATCAGGTGCATGCTACTGAAATTTTCCAAAATTTGAACCGTGAGACCAGTGGAGGGTGGAGGTGAGCGCCGGTCATGGCCTCCAGATTCACCTCGTCTTTTCCCCCACTGCCTCCAGAGCTGTTGCCTTCCCTACCGGTGGAGCCCCGCATGCCACAGCCAACGACGATGTAGTAGAGGCAAGGTTGGGGACGGAGAACCAGCGCCGCCTCATCTTCTCCCTAACCATGCAGCCAACGACGCCATGCCGGGTATTGAGCTCGGCTCCATTGCCAGATAAAGTCCCTTTGCACTATCGTCCATTAGCCTGAGCACCACCAGACATTCGCCTGAGTCTGAGAAGAAACAAAGGCGTTGGCAGGAGTTGGAGCCATTGGAGGTATTGACAAATCGTGACGAAGTCACACAGTTCAAATTTTACAAAATTTCAATGGGACGTACCCGATATAATGAAAAATAGTGCTATTTTTCCAAATCGGCAAATTTGTAATGGCATCGATCCAATTAACTAATTTTAAAACTGAAATATTTTAGTCATAGATTATGTTAAAAATTTTTACGACTGTTTGGTTAAACTTTAAAATCTCGATGTTTGAACTAATCCTAGATGCTTTCAACCTAGGTTTAGAGAGATAAAAGATCTTTTTTTTTAAAAATGAGAGATAAGTTGTAATACATCTATCATCATATTACCAAATTCTAGTGCAAAATACAACCTATATAGGGAGGAGAAAAATACCGTTAGGAAGTAAAATGAATTATTTCAATAGTTTAAGGAGTAAAATGAGCCAAAAAAATATTTTAGAAGGTTAAGTATACATGGAAATATTATTTTAGGGACCTTTTCCCCTAATAGATAATTACTTCCTTGGTTTTTCTTCATGTCACACCCCGCCCACCTAATTGAAGAGAGGGTGTGCTGTAGGAAATCAACATGAACCGACTCCCATCAAATCAAGATGCCAGTACCAATCCATGCACATAATCGCTGGTACCCGCGATCAACCGAGACGCCTCATTGCAACTAAACTTAGTATGAATAGATTATACCTTTAGCAGGTCACACCTTGAAAGCAACTCCTCCAATATAAACGGCAAGAGGAGAAGCACAGCTAGACCCAATCCACAAGCATCGGCTTAGGATTAGGAATGAAATTCTAACCTTCACTTATGTCTTCCTAGGGGAGGGGGAAAAACAACAATGGGTGAGTACATACGTACTCAGCAACGGACTGAAATTTTGAGCATGCTGGCTTCAAAGGAGGTCTGGGTTTATTTCGCAAACTTTTGAAAGCACTTTTTTAAACTCTAAGCGTGGGTTGTTTATCATGGTCGGAAAGAGGCTTTCACCTTGATCCTTTGCGTGAGTTGATTTGCAACAACTCAAGCAAGCGAAACAAATTTTAGTTGATTAAAACTATATATCATGCCTACTGTCCTATCATGACACTGGCGCACAACCTTCTGCCAACAGGCAATTTCTAACTCATTTCATTTGTTAGTTTCTTGACCTCAGCGCATCAGCTGATCTCACAAACTCATTTTTTGGGCTCCCAGAGCCATCCAAAAATATCCAGCATATATTGTTTCCCCTCGGGAAGCCTAGCTATGATGCTACCCAACATCCTATTCCACGGTCATCCATCAATCATTATGACCGATTCTGGTAACGATTCCCAACCATAACCTTTTCTCCAACCACAACCTTTTCTCAACACTTAGCAAATAAAACTATGCTAGAGGATTTGCCTGTATCCATGAGCACAGATGTTCAAACAGTTTGATATCCTCTGCAGAGGGTGCACGCTTCACCCACATGACGCGATCTTAGTCCCTCACTAGCCAAGTTGGGGAGGTTCATGACAAGGCTTTTCCAAAGCCAACCAAAGATACCTCATGCCACATAGAAGGGTTCTCTCTGAACTAAGTATGAGGAAAACCTCAACCATCTTCTACCCAAGAATTTGGATGCCATTTTTCAATCATGCCCAACACGTTAATATTTGACGTGCGCCCAACACAACAATTCAGCTCACAACACCTCATCCCAGCATTCTCCAACTATTGGCACACAAGGCATCTCTAGCCAGCTAATTACTTAGTCATGGGTGTCTGATTCCACCCATGTGGTCGCATTGTGAGATGCTCAGATAGAATTCCATGTCTGTATGTGCGATTACAAAGCATCACCATAGAGGCGACCACTTTGCATTGCAGGGTTTCACAAACAACTTTTATTTCACAAACTCACTGACACCACATGTGGAGTTTTTCACAGGTTTCATAGACCCAAGTTTCCCATTTCGACAAACAATTGTGCCCGTGAGTGGAACCATGGAATCCTAAGCCTTAATGCACTAGTGCCGAGGTACCACAATGCCGGAACAACAATGATCAGGTTATTGACAACCTACGGGTATAATGCAACTACTAGGCAGGTATGTTGGTTTGTCACGCAAACCAGGGCTAGTCAGGTTTATCGTGCACAGTGGCCTTGCAATTTTGCAAACATAGTATTTTATAAAATGGGAGCAATATGATCGAAGGATGACTTGCCTCCGTCTTTGTTCAAAATAATTTCGGGCGTCGTCAACTACCTGCAAAAGGGAGAAAACCAACCAAATCCTAAAGATATAAAATATTACTATTAATAAATATTAATGTCATTAGGTATATCTCAATGTTAGAAAAAGATTAGACACTTGAACTGGGTCGATTGGAATTACGGTGGAGATCTGAATTTTCGAAAGAAATGATTTTCTTGAAAAAAGAAAGGAATTAGTTGAAATTAGAAAGTAATATTCGCAGAATATTCCCTGACAGGTTTGGTCCATTGTTCCGTGAGAAGAGGGAGAAGAAGATAGTTTTTTAGACTTCTGTTTGATGAAAAAATAAAAGGAAAAGGCTAGCTGCTGGGCTCAGGGACTGTTGGGCTAAAAGAAAAGAGAGGGAGAGGGACATGTAATGGACTTGGATTGGTGGGCTGAGAGGGAAAGAGGTGCGAGGTAAAATAAACATGTTAGATTAGGGTTGAGGGGGAAAACGTTCGCTTTGGTCCTCAAACATGGGTGGAGTTTAATTCACACCCTTCAACCGCTAAATCGGATATAGAGCGTCCTCCAACTTCTAAAGCCGATACAAATCAAATCCTTAGCAGTATTAAGAGTGGTTTTGACATACATGGCATCCTAATCAGAAAAAAATAAATAAATATGCATTAGGGGTAGTGGGACCCACATGTAAGTGGCAAAACTCACCTTCCTCCATCTCGCACCCTTTCTCTTTTCACCCTCTCTCCACTGTCTTCTCTAGAAGCTAAGTTTAATAGTATAGCCAACTACTAGATCCAAATTATTTATAATTAATCTAATAGTCTATTGATACAATAGTTACCGGGAAAGTGTATTTATCCCTTGAGGGAATATCCCATTGTTTCTTGCTTGCCATCTACATAGTCACCAAGCAAATTGAAATAAACTGACAAGATAGATTAATATGAAATATATCGCCCCACAAGCATGCAAGTTAAAAATTCAATTTCTACAAATTATAACAAAAATAACAAACATAACTGCGAATATACAATAACTATTTTTATTTTAATTTGTTTTTCTGTTGCAACTTGTACAAGTTGAATTTGGCTTTGCATGTTTGTGGAATGACATAATTCATATTAATCTATGTTGTTAAAAAAATTATATCTATTTAGGTGACATGCAAGCAACGAGGGATATCTTCTCAAGGGATGAAAATCCATATCCATTATATATGAAACACCTTTACATTATATATGAAACATCCATTTGTAACTGCCAAAACATTATAAAATGCGTCCTGAAACATTCAAAGAACACCACATGTAACGTTTGCAAAATGTAATAAAACATCGAAATACACTTATTGAAATATCCAAACAATACCAAATGAAATATTAAAAAAGTTCATTGCGACAAAAAAGAACTTAGTCGAACTCTTGTGAAAACATTGTCTTCTCACACATGAAACAATGAGTTTCAATGGCCAATATATATATATATATATTTTTTCATCGAAATAAAATCAATAGAGATCTTATTATAAAGATTTAATTATGATAAATACAATGGTGTATTTGTAAATTGGATAAATAATTTAAGAGATCGTCGCTTAATTTGCGCATGCATTGATCGCATGTGAGTTGCATGCACACATTCTGCCACAGGCTCACACTCCAGATGTGGGAGAAGGAGACTAGCATGTCTGTAGGAAGAAGAGAACTATTGATTTGAAAGTAAGGTCGTCATGTTGTATCCGATCGATGTTCTGTCTACGCTCGAATGACCGATCTGAAATGTTTTTCTAATTTGTCTTCGGTTTTTTATCATTAAGCATCAAGTCATTTTCTTAGAGATAAGTAGTTCAGTTTGTTAGGATAAGAAGCAGAGTTAGAATCTATTTAAAGAGTTGTAATTGTTTAGGAAGAGTTAACGAAGAATTAAACAGAATCTATATTTTTCATATATCTATCGTTCCTCGATTCCTTTCTTCGTCCTTCCTCCCTGCGTGCCCTCTACTCTATTTTACGGTTTTTTGCTTTCTTCTGCAGGTTCATTATCTACCAACTACACCGGCGGCGAGGTCAGGGCCATATCCTCCAACACACCACGACTATATTCTCTATCTACAAAAGAATAACTTTTAAAAATGAATCCAGACAATTATTTATCCAGATTTGTTCTCAGAAGTAGGTTTTTTCTTGGGATGGAGTGTACAATTTACATCCTGTGCTAGGTCGTGACAACATACCCCAAAGATGTACGATTATGTTGTTCTGGTAGCCACCAGCTCTGGATACTTACATCGTATCTCTGTTTATTACACATACCTAACCTATGTATTTATTTGCTCTTTCATATAACATACATGACGCAAATCCTAACAAATTTGAGTATGGACGACGACCATCCTCTACTCTCTTATATATGGTTCCACTCTGTCCACAAACCGGTGAAAATTATGAACCAGATTAGTGCGGCCATCGATCAAACTGTGTAATCCCAACTAAGTCATCCACATTCTGATTACCTCAGCTTTTACATGCAACACTGGTAGTACTTTAGTATCCAAAAAAAAAAAAAGAAAAAGTGACAGAGATGAATCTACAATAATCTGAGTTGAAGTGGCTCGTTGATGACTGCATCCACTGCGCTGACCATCTCTTTGGGAGAACTGAATCCGTCGGTCTGGTAGTAGAACAGGTGAAGAATCTTGCACATCTTCCAGAACAGCTGCTTGCACGGCCTCGGGATAGGGCCTTCCTGTTCGCTGACGACCAAGCTCAGCAGCTTCCTCCGTGAGGCGTCGATGCGCTTCATCACTTCGGTTTTGGCCTCGTCTACGGACATGGAGCCGCCGCTAGCGTGAACGAGCAGCGAGACGCCGTTCGTCATTTTGCCGTCCGACTCCTCCCTCTGCGCCGCAATTTGAGAAGCAATGCTTCGTCAGAACTTGCAAGCTCTAATTAACTGACCAGCAGCTAGCAACCATGGCTAATTACTAGTATTTCCAAAACAAATTAGAGTAATAATTAAATTATTTTTTTAAAAGAAAAACATTTATAACTATTTTATCAAAATTACAGTCTTTAGCTAGGCATTTCATAGAACTAAAACAATACCTGATTTTGAAAGTTAGTTCTACAACTCTACATGTTAGACACACACACATATATACAGGGTATAAAGTTGTAGTTTTATGATAAAATTGTTTTTTTTTAATTTTTATGAACTTCCGGTCAAAATTGCACAAAAAGATAATCTTGATAAAATAACCGCAGTTTGTGAAATTTTTGTTAATAATTAGGGCCTTAGAAATGTCGTACCAGATTTTCTCCGTTGGAACTAATAAATACACAATCTTACGGATTACTTACACCTTAAAATTTTTAATTTGCATATCTACCAAAATTTTGAAAAAAAAAAGAGGACAAGGACAGCATGGACTTTCTGTCACAAAGTACGTACCTCAATGCCTCGAATGTCATTCAGGAGACGGCCGCAAGTGCCCATCAGCCTGAACAACTCATCGTATTCTTCAAGTTCGACAATACCCTCCGGGAGCTTTTCTCCGATCAGAAACAATGCCGACATCACCGTACAGCCCTGTCCAAGTGACACCATGCCACTTTCCATGTATTCTTCGAACGTTGGCAGATGCTGGCTCCTCTGCCATTCTGCCTCAACCTTCATACACCTCACCACATGTAGCCACTGCAGATACATATATAGAGAGAATTCTAACTTGTTAATATTAACCGGAAGTAAGCGAATACTCCCTCGGCTCCAAAATATAACGGATTTTGGACAGATGGGAGTGCCTTATATTTTACGACAGAGGGAGTATGCAACAAAAAAAATTCAAGCAATCGCGCAAAAACGAGAGTGACTCACTACGTCTACTAGGTACTTGGTAACATCATGGCCTTGTAACGCGGAAGCCTTTGCGCCAATCTCGTTCACCGTATTATAAAGAGCCTGGAACACGATCTTTACATCTTCAGAGTAGTACTCATCTTCACCAGGCTCTTCCCACCTATATATGAGAACCATTTTTTGCATGGCAGAGAAGATAAATTAGCTAGCTAGCTCGCTAGAGATATAAAACATGGCAACATTTTTGAGAAAAAAGAAGACATATTAATTAATTACTTCTCCATTAATGCTAGGAGGTTTTCTTGTTCTTGTTCTAATCCACCAACATCGAAGAGATCGTCGATAACAGCCGTCAACCAAGCGGTTCTTGCCCACGAGGTGCGAGCGTAGCCCATTTCAGGACGGAATGTGGTGGCAGCACCAGAGAGATAGCAATATGTTATCTTCTGCCGTGCGAAATGTAGCTGGTCGAGTCTGTTGTCTTTCACCCAACTGTAAAAAAAGTTTTTTTTTTTGGCAATTTGTCTAGGTTAGAACCATATTGGAACAGTATTGATCTTGAGTTGTTTTTTTTTAAAAAAAAGGAATAATAACATGACAACGGCCTGGAACACCAACCTTTCGAGATAATTCAGTTCATTCTGGTAATTAGATTGAGAGATGCAGAAATCATCGACAGCCAAAGCTAGAAAATCTTGACTGTCATGAACAGGCCTGATCGAGTACAGTAAGAAGCATAAGGGAATTAGTACCTCATGTGTTATTTTATTTACTCAGATTTTGCATATTTTCGATGAAAGCCTTACATGCACTCTGTTTTCAGCATCTGGGAGCCCTTAGCGTCGAAAAGCACAATGTTCTTCCTGTGGACTAGACGTTCCAATGTGCTGTAGAAGGGATACTTCAGAGCAAACTCGATCTGAAATTACAAAAGCGAAATTCTCATTTAAACACAAACTGAGCTGTCTGAAGCGAAATGGCCAAATGGGAATTTCAAATTGAAGGCAAGAACCTCTTCACGGCCTGGAGTTCCTTTCCCATTAGAGCACAGCATTTCCTTCAATAGGCTGCCTGACCAAGAGCCTATGCTATCTAAGATCAAATCATTTTCTGATATACTGTGTTTCGAGGTCTTGTATACTTCCAGTACAGATTTTCTATCGTTTAGATACCCTTGAAGCGAATCACGGAAGCCTGAAGCTCCAGCAACATGAGATAGCTCATCTGCAACGTATTTTAATCAAATACGTTAAATCAAAAGAAATTCTAGATGAACCCCAATATGAAATAAGATCAAATTCCAGAATTCGAACGCACCTGAGGAAACATCGTAACCGTTCATTCTTAAAAGGCGAAATGCCATTGCGCACGTTGTTACGTCTAACATGATTTCCTCATCTTTCCCTAACCAGGAACTGTAAACTTGATCATCAATATTTGAGCTCATATATACAAACAAACAGAAATATTTATTCGAGGTTATTACCTGTATGTCATGTCAAGGATGCTCTTTATTTCACTGGCAAAATACTGAGATATTCCCATGTTTTCAAGCGCATCCACCATTGAAAGCTGACAATATATGTTTAGTGGATACAGTGTTGGCACTGCAACAATGTACTACTGTATTAGTAAGTACTTAATTAATAACAGAATGTAGCAAGTTCTTGATACTGCCCCCTGTTATTCATTGGATAAACATGCGTTTGATCGTTCGTTTTTTCAAAACATTAATTTTATGCAAATATAAAAAAAATCACATGCTCAAAATATGTTTAATAATAAACTAATTCACAACAAAATAAATAATAATTATGTATTTTTTGGATAAATTAAATGGTCAAACATACGTTAAAAGTGAATTAACAGAGTAATTTTTTTAAATAAAAGAATCGGAAGGAGAAGTATATATACAAACTCACCTACACCGTCAAATTTATTGACTAGAGATTGCAAGTATTGGAGAGCTTTATCGTCGTGGTAATTGGCTAATGCGCCAGCAGTTGAAGAAGGACAGTTGAACAATGACCCGTTCTTCCTCTGGAACATCATGATTTCATCCCACTCCAGAAGGTTCCCAAATCCTTCTGCCAGATAGGCCATATAGGCCTTTCTTCCACGAGAATGGTTCCCGGCCTCTCTAAATTAATGAATCAAAACATTCAGGATAATTTACTTGTAACTCAGATATACGTCAAATCAATCGTTTGCAATCTCGTTTGTATTATTATTTTGTCAAAAAAATATATTGTAAAATTGAAATTAATAATTACCCAGTTGGCTAGCTAATAAATGTTCAGGTCTTTTCTTTTACTTTGAGCTAACGCAATTTAATGCATGGGCTAGGTTTATTCATATTTTTCCATGGCGTAGCAGTTGTTTGATCATTCTGCCTTGGATTGGTGGCAAACAATGTTGCCACGCACCCGTAGCCCATCGTGGCTAAATTATGTGTAAAAAAAATAGTTTCAGAGATTATTAGTTTTACAATTTTAGCTGAAAAGGTTCATTTTTTTAAAAAAAGTTGGCGGATGATCAGTTTTATCTAGTTTTAAAAAGTTGATGTGCTTGGAAATTGTTATAAACTTATTCGGAAACAATATAAATATCCATTCTAGGATAAACTTTGATATTGGCAATTAAACCTTTGTATTTTCATCTCCCGAAGGTGATTAAGACTATCAATATCGTTTTGTCTGACGGGGACTTCCAAGCCGGACCCATTGGCAAGGGTTAGCATAGCTGGGAAAGTGATGCCGAAACCTATAGGAGCAACTGCTTGATCATCCATCGCAATCGAGAAATTTCTTCCAATGAAACTTAGTCCTGCAGCCGTCGTACCATAGGATTAATTAAGACGTTTAAGAGTAAGATATGATTAAAGCAATTAATGTGGAAAGGTTGAAAGGTACCCTCGTATAGTTAAATCTTTACTGCGACATATAGTCCTAAAATATATCTCATCATGAAAATTTCAATAATATGTAGGTATCCCGTAGTAAAAAAAAAAACTAATAGACTTAATAGAAGTATTTGACAATGATTTCTCTTACAGTAAAGATTTTATTACCCAAGCTTGTTTTAGCTATAACATAACCATGCATGGTGTTTGTTTGGTTAACATAACCAACCATGCATGGTGTGATATGGTTTGTTTGGGCTCTAAGTTTTAAATTACCATATCACACCAAACTGAGAGAAATTAACTGAGGTACTATGGTGTTTGGGCTCTAAGTTTTAAATTGAGTATAACCCAAATTTCAATGAGTATAAAAATGTTTAAAGAAAATAGAAATGAACATTAACTTGTTAAGTGTATCTATATATAAATATTGATATATGTTACCTCTCCTGATGTGCTCCCTACCAACATTCCATTTGTTGAGTGCCAGAACACATGCTAGCGTAGATGATAGGACATCTTTGTTGGCTGTGGATATGGACCCGTCAATACTCCATGATCCATCGTCCCATTGATTCTCTAGTATCCAGTCGACGCATTGAGGGAAGCTTGGATTGTGAGACGAACCCCGGAGTGGCACCATAGCTACCCATGCAGTGTCATATGGGGATGGTGATAATTCCACTCCTTGGAGCTGCTTCCTTATACTTGCCTCGAGTTCTTTCCTGTGCTGCAGCGTTCATCACAACAATATATAATGAACTCAACAAAGGATATAGTGCAAGATCCATATATTTTTTCTATATACAATAACAATTGTGTATTGAAAATATCAAGTTGCATTGTGTTAGGCTTATTGTCTCAATATATTATTTTATTTTATTGATTTGAAAATTCGGAACTACTAATAAATTTAACTATCAAGAAATACAAATATTGAGATGTACCTGACCTAAATTCTCGACTAGTTCTTTTTATAATTTAGTCATTTCAAAAATTCGAAAAATAACATATAGTGATGTGCTTAGTTTAGAATCTAAATTGTAATATTTTAAAGAGCGGGTAATACTCTAAAAATCTGTATTAGTAAATAATGAGACGGTATTAGTTGTTCAATCCACTATGTGAAACCCCGCGCATTGCTACGGGAGTTTAGTATAATAACAATAGATAAAAATAATATGTAAGATAGCTAGATAATATAAGTTTACATAAGTTGATGTGGTTTATGATGATTTAAATAGCACATAGAATGATGATTTAAATGTAAAAATAAAGTGATGGGGTTTTAAGAGAGAAGAAAAGAAGGGGAATAATTTGGACAATAGGTTAGTCATTTAAGGGTTAAAAATAATTAAGGTGGTATAGTGAGAAGAAAAAGAGCAGGATAATTTGGACCATAAATTAATCATCTAAGAGCTAGAAATAATTGTGTGATATGGCTTAATTATAGAAGAGAGAAATAATACTAATTATGTGAGGATAAAATATATATGTATATAGGATATTATAATAAATGATGGAGAGATGATATATTAAAATATTATATAAATTATGTAGGATGGTGGTTTAACATGCTTGCATTTTAAAGCTCTAAAATTTAATAAATTATAGAATAAAATTATAGATAATATAGCATGCTTGTATGATATTTAAGATATAATAATTGTTAGAAGATGATAATATGATATATTTGCATATTGAACTTTAGGATTTAGTGGGTTCTATCTTTATCGTAAGATAGGACGAAAACGTAGCATGTACGGATTCATGGGTTTGGGTAGTTTTTCATACTAATTAATTGGAGACCCTCTTATTATCCTCCATATATATTAATCCTGCGTAGTTAAAATCCTAAACAGTCTTTCATTAATCCTAAATGGTTGAAAGTTCTCCAACAAATTAAGGAATCGAACGAAGAAAAGAAGTTGGACATCCAATCTACTATGCATCTTCATTTTTTTTTAATATTTGACGCTGTTATCTTTTAGTTCAACATTTGACTATTCATATTAATTATTCAAAAAATTATATAGTTTATTTTGTTATGATTTCTTTTATCATCCATGAAATTAACTCTAACCTTAACATATACTTTTACATATTTGCACTAAATATTATCAAACATTAAAAAAAATCACCTGTGTCATATATATATATATATATATATATATATATATATATATATATATATATATATATATAAAGGGTCATAATATTTACTGCGTGTACCTCGTTGATTGCGATATACTTCCTCCGTTTCACAATGTAAGTCATTCAAGCATTTCATATATTCATATTAATATTAATGAATCTAGATAGATATATATGTCTAGATTCATTAACATCAATATGAATGTGGAAAATGCTAGAATGACAAATGTTAAACGGAGGAAATATATGCGTATCTAATATTGTATATAAGACAAACACAAGTCGGTGTCAAAGAAGACTCATGCTAATTAGTCCTGTTACACCAGTCTTTTTTTAGAACACTGTTATACCAGTCTTTGATATGCATGCGTACGTGTCCAGAACAAGTCATGCAAGGTGCAAAACTTCCATGGACCATGGCGCCTACAAGACTGTCCCTGTCATGCATGCTAAGCAAACAAATAGCAAGGGATCAATACTTGCGCTTATGTTTTGAATCAATACTTTTCCTTACAATGGTTTCCAAATTTAAAAATTTGAGACCCCACCAAATTAAACTATAGTATTGTCACCCTAACTTAAAAAATAAGGGACTACATATCCATCATTCAACAGAAAACCTTACAAAATCTGTCAAATATAATTATAGTATAATTATATTATAATTATTATAGGACTAGAAAAAATGCCATTGTATTGCAACGGGTGAAGTCTATTTTAATCTTATTGTTGTTATATGGTTTAGTTAAGATGAAATTCACTGTGGGGGTTCGGTTGGATATATATATTTTTAGAAAATCCTGAGCTGCAGTTAGGAGTCCGATCGTCTCAGGTTAGCATGCGAGTTTTTTTAAACAGATTTCTTATATGATTACCAAAAGTGAACGATCTTAAAAACCAACTCAAATATAGATATGTATTTTCAAAAGTAATTGAACTTAAAAACTGACTCATACACAGATGATGTACCAAAATACTGGCAAAAACATCTTTAATTTTTATAATAGTAGAGATTAGCATGTAATTAATTATAATGTATATAGGATGTAAGTGGTATGGAAGTCACAAAATAAGTTAACTTTTTACTCATCCCATCTCAAATTAACTACGTCTCTAGTGGACAAAAATTTAACAGATCTTCCATCAAAATTTCTGCAATTAGTCTTACCGTCGCTTGCAGGCTCTCTGCAATCCCCTCTGCTTCCGGCTTCTTCATCTCAAGACCTCCAACAGCTGCTGCTGCTGCTGCTGGCGAAAGAATTCGCAGGTCATTGCGCCCTTCGACATATATATGTTTTTATGAACGTGAGAAAGATACGAAATTATTACAGTAATAATACTAGCTCTATCGAGATCTAGCTAGCTACTACCTCCAGTGATCCCAGGAGGAGGAGCTCTGCTGCTCGGCTGCTTTGCTGACGGCGCCATGGTCGTCGTCCCACCGGCCGGTGAAGCTCCGGCGAATTTTCCGCCGTAGCCGCCGGACGAAGGGGAACCTAGCAGCATCATTCGCGACGATGACGACCCGGTCAGAATTGCATGCAGAGGATATCGATCGAAACGCAGCAGGCAGGCAGGCAGGCAGGCAGCAGGAAGGAGCCGCGAACGAACGAGAGCGGTATGAACTACTCTATCTACTTCATTCGGTAGTTCTCCATGCCGGCCCAGTGCTGCTATGACACCTTATATACACATAGTACGCTGATCGAGTATGAATGAGCTCACCTACCGGATATTATCTACGTTTCATTTTATAAATCGCTACGATTTTCTTTTTCTAATCGAACTACTAAGTTTTTTAAAAAAACATATATAATAATATTCTTAACACGAAACAAATATATTATCAAATACATTAATGTTAAATTTAATGGAATAAACTAATTTGATATTTTAGATGTTAATTTTTTTAAAAAAGATGGTTAAATATAACTAAGTTTAATTAGGAAAATGGTTAAATCGACTTATAATTTGAAACGATGGAGTAGCTCTCAAAGAACCTCTTGTTGCTATGAAATGTATTCGCCACTATGCAGGCAATGACTATGACCTTATGAATAATAGTAATAATTAGTCCCTTTCCCTCGAAGAAAAGAAATGCATTTAGCCTAGCTCGTACCCTGGGTGTGTTGATTGGTATCTGACTGAAGAATCACAGTTTCGCACATGGTTCCTACATGCCATATTTTCAAGGTTTTGCGTGCAATATTTTTTATGAAATCGCCGCGCCTGCTTGCATCAAATTTTAGATCTTGTTACAAAGAGATTTTTGGGGAAGCTTGTGTAACTAAGGGCTGGTTTGGTTTGTGGCCTAAATTGGCCTTATCAATTTTTGTCAATGTCAAATTTTGGCATTGCTAATTTTGGCAAAGGTAAAATTATGTTTGGATTGAAGCCAAAATAGCCTAAATTAACTGTTGAAATGGCCTATTTTCTTAGGCATGCCAAAATTTGGCTTCAAACCAAATAGACAATAAACACTATTGAAATTGACAAATATTTGTAAGGCCAATTTAGGCCTCAAACCAAACCAGCTCTAAAACAAACTTAATTTGCAACTTTGTTCAACCGTAAATGCGAGCACCCGTGTCAAGTTGAGACTTGAAATCGAGTGAGCTGGTTTCACTGCAAGGAACCTAACCAATTAAGCTACGCTCATTTTCTCTAGGATCCCTAATTTATTTTGTTGGTAATGACAACACAAATAGAGAGTTTCAAATGAAGTTTGTTGACATGGTTGCAAATTTCAAATTAAGTTGGTGGTACATATAAAAATTAAAGTGTCATCTTGGATATGCTAATTCACATAAACTTTGTTTTATTGAGTTTAGCATGTCATAGTCATACTCTCTTTTCATATTATAAGTCGTTTGACTTTTTTTTGTCAAATTTATTTTTGTTTGATCAAGTTTATTGAAAAGTTTGCAATATTTATTAGTTTAATTAAATTTAACATTGAATATATTTTATTTTGATAATATGCTTGTTTTGTATTAAAAAATTATTATATTTTTCTATAAATTTTATCAAACTTAAAAAAGTTTGAAAAAGAAAAGTTGAACGATTAATATGAAGTGGGGCCGGGAGGGGGGGTATTTAGAAGAAACGAACATATACTACTGGGTGATGCAATAATTTGATTTCCCTTTTCTTTTTCGTTGTTGAGGGATTAATAACGAGTAAAATAGAGAAAGAGCGACTGAGAAAAATAGAGGGCAGAACATATGAAAAAGACGAAGAGAGCATAACTATACATGGTAGAAGTCTCTCTTCCCGTCTGAAGGAAAACATCGAAGAACACTTTGTAAGAGAGCGGATTAGTTGGAAATTTTTTCAGACAAAAGTGTGGAATGCAAATTTTCTGGTCAGTATGTGGACAAAATTTGCTGATCAACCGCTTTTTCTCAGGCTCGTGTCCAAAGTGTGTGACCCACAACAGAAATTTGACTGCCCTCTATTATAAACAGTGTGGCAGCGCCCACTCCGCAAATTTCTTTATTCACAATTAATTGATTTTTCTTACGAGGACCGTATTTGATTATTTGTGATTGTTTGATAATAATTGATTTCGATGAAACGTAGGAAGATATGAATTAATTTATTTTTAAATAAAATTTAAACTCTATAAATTTGTTTATTTCGGGAGAGAAGGAAACTCATTGCTTGGACGGAAGCTTCTGGAACCGCGCCCAAGAGACACGATCAAGATTAGTGATAATTTCTTCTGGTGGGCCCCACCACGGTACTAAGCGAGCAGTGCTGTCAAGAGGTTCACGGGAGGAAGACAGGAACCAATGCTGTCAAGAGAAGTACCTGGCTCAACCTGGCCGACTTGGGAGCTACTATTGATAACTGTTCTTTTGACAGAATTGGAATGCCACTGATGTTAGCGTCCGGGTAGATGGACATGCTTTGTCCGTCCAATTAAAAACGAATTTAGTATTTAATGTGATACATTCTAATATAACAAATATGAACAAATGTATGTCTAAATTTATAGAATTATGATACACCATATTCATTATGAGTTTGATTTTTTTTTATGGAACAGGGAGTAGAATAGAAAAGATCATTACTCACTCTCTTGAGAACTGAAAAGATCATTGTTCCCTATCTTCAGAATTGATATATACTCTCCGTCGAAAAAAATATCAATCCTAACTATATAATTGGATAAATACATGTTTGGTTCATAACTAGAATTTCCTTGTCATCGCTGTGTAAAATGTACTGATATGTAGTACTGTTGTTTGTACTGGACTACAAATTAAACTAATTAATGATGAAGAAAAGAATGTACTGCCTCATTGTCCGGATGATCTTTTTTTCTATATAAGTGAATGATGAATCCTGAAATGTCACATAGGTGATCCACGTAAGCTAAAAAAGTTCGACCATCAGATGAAAGAGAAAAGAGAAAGGAAGCCGTTGGATTGTATCAGTGAAAAAGGGTAAAACTGATCTTCTGGACCTTTCCAGCTCCTCCCCTTACAAGTGGGAGACAGTGCAAAGAAAATGAAAAAGAAAACTGCAAATGGAGGATAGGAATAAAATTAGAGCCCCATCGGTAGGTCTGAAAAGAATGAGCCAAAACTAAAATTTCAAATTTAATTTTAAAGTTGATTTTAAAATATTTTTAACATAGTTTTTTTAACACTAGCTTTTAAATTGCTAACAATATTACACATAAATTATTTTTCACACTAATAAACTGTTACGGTTTATAATAAGTCTTTTGCAACAGACAAGGCAGGCAGGAGGAAGAAGCAGCGATCGAACGAGAGCTATATGAACTACTCTATCTACTTCATTCGGTAGTTCTCCATGCCCAATGCTGATCGAGTATGAACTCACCTACTGGATATTCCTTAAGTTTCATATTATAAATTGCTATGATTTTTTTTATTGAACTACTAAGTTTATAAAAAACATATATAATAATATTCTCAACACGAAACAAATATATTACCAAAATATATTAATGTTAAATTCAATGAAACTAATTTGATATTATAGATATTATTTTTTTAAAAAAATGGATAAATATAACTAAGTTTTAATAGGAAAATGGTTTTTTTAGAGAAGGTATTTTTTACCCGGCCTCTACATCTAACCGGATATATGCGGCCATTTAAATTAGAAACTTAGCCTGCAAACAACCTAATATGAAATTCACCATATAGAGATTTGAACTTAGGACCTTTGGGTACATTTAAATTAGGAACTTAGCCCCGCAAACAACCCAATCTGAAATTCACTCCTATAGAGATTTGAACTCAGGACCTTGGGGTACTACTCAGGTCACTGCAACCACTAGGCTACATACCCTTTCGTATTAGGAAAATGGTTAAATCGACTTATAATTTGAAATGAGGGAGTAGCTCTCAAAGAAACCTCTTGTTGCGCTGAAATGTATTCGTGATTATGTAGGCAATGACTACAACCTTATGAATAATAATATTTAGGGTGAATAGCTAATTTAGTCCCTCAAGTTTCACCGAAGGCTCGATTTGGTTCTTCAAGTTTCATTTTGTCCATATAGGTTCTCTAAGTAAGTGTTTCTGCTTAGAATCATCCTTGGGTCCACTTAATATGCCATATGGCTATATCTAGTCAACAATTATGTTAGAAAATGTCCCTTTTGCCATTAATTTGTATACAACTATACACTAGAAAAGTGAAAACCAAGATGAATAAACAACATTGCATGTATACTTCCCATTATTTCAACATGTGCACATGAAACTTGAGCATAATGGCTATGGTATATACTTGCAGGTACATAATTTATTTTCTTTTTACATAAATTACTATCCATTATCTATAAAAAAATTCATTGCACATAATTTTTACTCTTATATATGTGAATAAGGGGTATAACTGTCATTTATCAAGAGAGTTGTTGGCTATGTTTAGCCATGTAGCTTTTAATTAGGTTTAAGGATAAGTTTGAATTAAAATAAAAACTTAAAGGATAAGTATGGATAGATTGAAACATTAAGTAATAAACTAAATCTCAAGATGAAATTTGGAGAACATTTTAGCTATTAACCCTAATAATTAAGTCTCTTTCCCTTGAAGAAAAGAAATGCATTTAGCCTACCTCATACCCTTGTGTGTTGATTGGTATCTGACCGGAGAATCACAGTTTCGCACATGGTTCCATACGTGCCATATTTTAAGATCTTGCGTGCAACATATTTTAACTACTCACCACACCTGCTTGCATCAAATTTCTGGGGAACCCTGGGTGTCCTTGCATCAACATCTTTTAAGATCTCGTTACAAAGATATTTCTGGGGAAGCTTGTGTAACTAAAACAAACTTAATTTGCAATTTTTTCAACTCTAAATTCGAGCACCCGTGTTAAGTTGAGACTTAAACCCGGGTGAGCTGGTTTCACTCCAAGAAACATTACCAATTAAGCTACACTCAACTATTTTATTGGTAATGACAACACAAATAGAGAGTTTTGAATGGAGTTTGTTGACAGGGTTTCAAGTTTCAAATTGAGTTGGTGGTTCAAATAAAAATTAAAGTGTCATCTTGGATATGCTGATTCTCGTAAACTTTGCTTTATTGAGTTTAGAATGCCATACTCCCTCTGTTTCATATTATAAGTCATTGACTTTTTCTTAGTCCAAATTATTTA